GTGTCGGCCACATTAAGGCCTCCATACATGGGTTGTGCGCTCTTAACACTACATTTATGAAGAACCCTTCTCTATGATCCATTATTTTACTGGGTCCAACTCAAATGATTGACCATATAGAAATGATTTATGATAGTGTGGTTAGGCCTGTCACGATAACAAATTTTGCTGAAAGATTAATTGTCTCAAAAATGATTGCGATAAACGATAATATTGTTTGAAGACCTTTTTACACTGATTTAATGGAAATGACGTAATAATGCATGCATTTTCATGCCAAAGATCAACACACTTTATTTTCGACAGAACACCTATTTTGTTAACCAGTTCCAGTGTTGGAACTGGTTAACAAAATAAAACGAGAAATAAAAATCAAATGGACTCTCAGTCTCTGTTAACTAAAAATACACTCGAATAAAAACTAAACACAAGATAAAACCAGAGTGGAAATAAAAACGTATGTACAACATATCACGTTTGTGATATGTATGTTTTCCTCGGGAGTTAATCCTGTCTATCAAAAGTCTGCAACATTTTTCGAAATGCCGGCTTTTTAACAATATTAAATGGAAGCATCTCATTAGCAATTAAATGAACTATGCTGTCTGTGACCGTGCGCCACTTAGCGCCGTCCTTTTTGTATGCTGCCTGTCAATTAATTGCTTCAGTGATGGTGGACTGTCGCAAACTTGAAGACACAGGCGGGACACCGCTTGTGCTTTTTGTCCCCAGCTGGAGAAACTTTGCTGGGTGGTTGTGCTTAAGGTGCATGTGTAGGTTGGTTGTATTGCTGCTCTTAGTTGCTACTGTTTTATGACAAATGCGACATACTGGCTCGCATAGGTTCAGCGGTTTGCCTTGGTCATTTGGTTTGAATCCGAAATACTCCCACACTGCGGCTGTTGTGCTCGGCTTTGAAACCAGTTCCATTTCGAGCTTTTCCCCCCAACATAAGACATAAGATGTGTTTTGTTTGTTTTTTTTACCTCGCTAACTCTTCTAACTCCTCACGGGGCTCTAAAGCTCAAAATGATGCGCGCTGATGACCTGATGCGATAGTCCACTCTTCCTCCCTCCTCAAAAATGAGGAAGGGGAGGGGTCAGTGGATAGCATCAAGAATCATCAATAGAAGGAGAAAAACACAGGCAGAGACAATATAGCCGATAAATGAAATGACGTGGATAGTTTTTATTTATCGTGCGATCAATTGATTTATTGATTATCGTGACAGGCCTAATTGTGGTGCAAAAAAATCTGCTAAAGCAGGGAAACCTCTAAAACCTGCAGGACAGCGGCCCTCGAGGACCGAGGTTGGGGATGCCTGACCTAGATGACCAAGAATCTACTTCTTCTGAAAGTACTTTAAATGTACAATTACTACATACTGCCCAATAAATGATGTGTTTTTAATTAAGAGTAATTCAATTTGAATGTAATTTACTTTAGGCATCCATGATTGTCAGAGAACACTACTGATACCTACCGGTTTGTGACGTCAAAGTGTGGTATCACCAGTGCGGTACCTGGTGTTTCTCACAGTGCCAACACATTATCCAAGTCATCATGAACCAACTTCAGTGGTCCCTGCCCTCAGCGTAGAATTCACCGCTGGCCACTTCACCGCTCTCTCGCACCTTTTTCATAGTGATACTATGTAATAGGGCTGAAACTAACAATTATTTTGCAAATCTATAAATCTGTCAATAATTTTTTCAGCTATTCAATTAAAAAAGACTTTTTAAGAAATAAAACCAGGTGAAACTAAAAGTTTTCCAATTGAGGAGTTCTGGATAGAGGATATTGACAGACGCTGGGGCGACAGTGGCGTTGGATGTAGGAGTTTGCCCTGAAATCGAAGGATTGACGGTTCAAGCCCCGACTCCGACTTTCAGTGTTGTTGTGTCCTTGGGCAAGAGACTTCACCTGCATTGTCTACTGATGGTGGTCAGAGGGCCAGTGTACGGCAGCCCCGCTTCTGTCAAGGAGCCCCAGGGCAGCTGTGCCTACAATGTAGCTTCCCACCATCAGTGTGTGCGTGAATGGGTAAATGAATGTAGTGTAAAGTGCTTTGGTCAAGTCTCCTGACTTGAATAAAGGTGCTATATAAGTACATGCCATTTACGAAAAAAGTTTTTATAACTTAAATGCAAAATGTTAACTTCTTTTTTTACAATTTTGGTATAATTGCTGCTCAAGGTAGGTCGCTCTGTCAGCTAAAGACATGTATTAGAGTCTCTATAGTCCAGTTAATGTTTAATAGATTAATAAATTAGTTGACAATTATTTCAATAACCAATTAATCATGATTAATCCGATTAATTGTTTCAGCTCAACAATGTAAATCCTTTGCCCTTGCTGCAAACAACGAGTTTGGTGTAAACGCACAATTGCACTGGCTCCCTGTATTTTACAGTCTATAGATCACTGAATGGCTTTGCCACAAAATACATTATCAGGCTCCTGTCCAATGAAACCAACTACTAGTTTTAGTCTGTGAGGCAGATACTCTGTCTACATTTAAAGGTAGGCTTAAAACTTTCCCCTTTGATAAATCTTATAGTTAAATACAGAGTTTGGTTAGTCGGTGGCTAAGTAGAGGTAGGTGCAGGTAGAGCGTTTACAGCCCGATCCAGCGGGGGGAGAATTTCATTCCAGACAGACATTACTCCTAAGCTCTACCTTGGCCACACTTTGGCTCTACCGTTATTTTACCTCATTCAAAATCTTTAACTTATCCTGAGCTATTTTCTTTATTTGTGCTGCTATATGTTTATGCTGCTGGAG